ATATGACTGAATTGGGCAATCGATTGTATATTTGTTTAGGTTTGGCACCCGATAGAATTAGTAGATTTAGGATATTTAGAACAATCGGGATATTTGGGATATTTGGGACATTCAAGAAACTTGGAATATTTGGGATATTTGGGACATATAGCATATATAGTATATTTAGTATATAATTAGTATATTTAGCATATAGACAAATAGTTTATAAAGGTGGCATTTACTCTAATGTAAAAGAGGAGTTCAGATATCTCAAGTTAGCAATAAACTGTTTACCGGCCAAATCTACACCTCTTTCGAGAGTGGTATTTTTTGAAAAATCACATTTGGTGGATTACTGTGAGATCGTATACTATCTATCAAGTATCAAAGAAGTTTGAATTACCTTAACCAACATACCGTGTCTAAAGGACAAATAGATAGTAGAAATATATAGTGAAAAAACAAAACACATATAGTAAATAATTAAAAGACATAAAAACTAACAGAATAATAAATATACAAGTAAAAGAAAAAGACTAAACAGCTATAAGACTATAGAAATAGCAAGCTAAAGACATTAAGAAACTAATGGCTACAACTATCTAAAGTTAAAGAAGAAAGACAAAGGAAAGCCAAAGTTGAAGCATAAAGAAGGTCGAAGTTGAGACCTAAGAAAAGCCAAAGTCGAAGAATAAAAAAGGTCAAAGTTGAGACCTAAGAAAAGCCAAAGTCGAAGCATAAAAAAAAGGTCAAAGCAAAGACTGAAAGAAAATATCATAGTTGAAATTAAATTAAATAAATTAGAAGTGATTAGAGGATAAGTATACATTTTTGGGCAAAAATTTTTTAAAAATTGCCCAATAATGGTTTTATCTAACAATTTATAATCATGGCGCCTGATAAAATTTTAGATCTATATCAGTATTTAAATCTTTTTTTTTTAAGCGAAAAAAAAAAAATTTTTCTAAATAAAATTACCTTGTTGCTCATTTTAACTTCTGGATGGTCTTATTTTGAAAGCTGTATATTGACGTGGTGAAAGTCTTGTTGTTGGATTCTTGGTGTTGAAAGTAAGTTGGTTT